CGACTATGTTGTCTCTCGAGCGTGCCAGCACGCACACATTGGTTACCAGGAGTGGTTGGAAGTTGAACGCAATGCATAGATTGGTGTTCGCACACGCGTTGCAACACGCTCGGACGCTGTCCGCGCCTATGGACACGATCACATCAAGATCCAGCAACTGGGCACCGTTCTCAACTGGGGCACCGCCATCGCCACCGATGTTGTTGCACTGTGAAGAGGGCGACGGGGACCCGGCGGTGTCGAAGTTAGGCATCATCTGGTAAGTCGGCTCCGTCTGGTACGTCGGTGTCGACATAACGTGAGGCTTCGCCTGGTACGTCGGTGTCGGCTTGACGTGAGGCTCCGCCTCATAAGTGTGCGGTGACCAGGTCGTTCCATCCACTGCGGTCGGTTTAGGCATGGCTCTCAAGTTACGAGTGCTGGAGACTCCGACAGGTCCTGCCAACGAGTAGGTGGCATCGTGATGCGCGAAGAGCGGGACATCGGCGGATGCAAGACCTGCGGCGAGAATGCCGGCTAAGATCAAGTTGGTCGAGAACATTGTAGATGGGAAGAGGAGTTTGGTGTTGCTGCCAAAGAGTAAAATGAGGAATAAAACTTGTAGCGCCAACGACACAGCGGGTCGTCAGGTGATTTCAGTAGACACAAGCAGAGAGCTTTCGGACGTCATTCGTGCGTTTCAAAGCTTTCGAATGAGCGAGGATAGTGGAACCTAAGCTACAAGTTATAATACTCGTCCGTAAAACAAAAGCGGTTGAGACAAGCGGCGACAGTCAGGACTTTCACGAAAAGTTTCAGTGCGTTTATGAATCGGCTCCGAAGTTGACTTGGACGCCAGCCATGTGTCTGTTTCAGTTGCGATACTTTTGATACGTATCGAGTAAAAGCAAATATATGATGTGTTGGTGTGAATGGCCAACACAAACATATGGTAGAACTCATAAAATACTTGCACGAATGTGTCCACCGATCTCAAATAAGGTCAACTCGTGCATGTGTAACAGGGTATCTAGTCACACGTAAATATTATGTAATACAATTGATCTTTGGTCTAAAAGTATCCATGATTACTTTTGACCTGTCACTTGGGTGTGATACACAAACGTGATCCACCCTCGTGAATGTGATATTCATCTATGAATCCACATGGGAAGGGATGTCGCTAGTTGAAGCTAGGCATCGCGACGTCTCAGAAAGACGTCAGTTGCGATCTTAGATCTAGATTTAAGATCATGCGACAGGATACGCTTTTAAAGAGTCGCGTATCCGATCTATATATATACATATATAGCCAATCAGTAGTTAAGCATATTTTAGTTATAATTGATTAAATATAGCTCAATCTTGAATTTACTTAAACATACGCACCACGCACCAGAAGTTGCAAAGCTTCTGCGTGACGTCAGTGCTTTAGTGTTAAGAAGTTCGTTGCACTCTCGCTTAATCGAGAGGCAACCGGTGGTACGACTGCTTAAGCAGTCGACCAACCACACAACCACCCTCGCACGCGAAGGTAAGACGGTATAACCGCTTCCTCGCTTGTGTGCTCGTAGTACGAGGCAACTTCGTAGAAGTGCCCGTCTACACTTGGTAGCACTAGTAGTCCTTCCCACGACCCGTCTCTCTGAGCGTGCGTGTGGTTAAGATGGTCCTTAATATGGACTGGAGTGATTTCCCTCACCTCCCTCAACATCATAGGGAGTTGGCAGAGCATTTGGCGCAGGGACTTGGTGAACAAGACCTGTTCAACCTCTTGCAGTGTCCCCCTGAGCAACATGTTGCTCAGTTGGAACAATTTGAGGCGTTTGTGCTCGGACAGCGCAGAAACGCGTCCGAGGTAAACAGCCAAGCCACTGCTGAGTCCATCACTAAGACTCAGGATGAGCTTAGGCTTGAGCAGGCACGTAATGAGGCGCTCAACAGAACTGTTGAAACGCTCTCTGTCCGGCCTACTCAACCGAGGCCCATTCGGATGGACCCTCCGAAGGTCGATGGAACTATCCCTCACACGATTGTTCACTGGTTATTAGCAGTCGAGCAATGTGGAGTGGCGCAGCTCATCGAAGACGACACCAGAATGGTGTCGTATGCCATGTCCAACTTGCGTGGCAAAGCGTCAGAGTGGGCATACTCTGCGCTGATGGCTAATGCTGATGCATTTCCATCATGGGCGATCTTTAAGGCAAAGATTCGCGCCATGTATCAGCCGCCTAACAACGAAGTGTTGCTTTATGGCGCGCTTCTTTGGAGCACGACAGGCGAAACGCTCTCTGCAAGAATTTGTGCAGGAGATGCGTTCGCTGTCGGCGTCCATCAATGGGGAACCGATACCAGAGCGTATCAAGGTAGCCACGTTCATGAATGGACTTAGGCACGGCCCATCGCGTCAGGCCTTTTTCAGAAAGGTGCCAGCGACGATGGAAGAGGCAATTGACATTGCCTTAGTTGAGGAGCAATCCTACAACAGCGCCTCGGCGACAGCCTATTACAGGCCGTCGTCCGAGAAGTCTGATGCCACTCCTATGGAGTTAGGCAATGCAGATGTGATCTGCTACAAGTGCGGCAAGCGAGGCCATATGATGGCTTGCTGCTGTGCCAAGCTAGCTGCTGGGGCCAAGGCGCCCAGCAAAAGGTCTCCCAACCCGAAGGGAGGTGTGAAAAACCAGCGTGCACGACACACGGGTTCAGCACCTGCCCAAGATGGGTCGGAAATGTGGGAGCGCAGTAGGGGCGGGATGCACTTACTGTCGCGGACTCTGAAGCTACCCCTTCGTTCAGAGTGATCGAACAAATGAGTAGCATAGCCCCTGAGGTTCCGAAAGGTCGGACCTTAACCCTTTTGGTCTATAGCGCTCGAGTACGAGGCTATGACCAAGTAATGACCCTTCTCGTGGATTCGGGTGCATCACAAAACTTTGTGAAACTCTCGGCTCTGAAAAGGAGACCGGCGAGTTATGAGTTGCTTTGCAAGGATGGCAAGCAAAAAGAGGCGATCGTTCGTTTAGCTAGCGACCCGCTCGTAAAATCAGAGGGAGTTCAAGTTGAACTCGCCTAAAGCTTCAATGACTTCTCTGTAAAGAGAAGTTCACAGTGCTATATATGGAGAGTTCACCATGACCTCAACCTAGGCATGACTTGGTTGGCTAAACACCAACCATGGATTGATGGCGTAGTCGCTAGCTCTACGCAAGACACCGGAAAGGATGTGCTACTGCGAGAGGCTTATGTGAATGATGATGTGTCCAACACAGTCGAGGGTGCGATGACGGTATGTCCATCGGCACCAGGAACTACCAGGTCGAAAGAACCTGTAGTACTTGGAAGTGCCCTGGCAGAAAGCCAGGTGACACATATTCCTACCCAGGTCGAAGAGACTGGTGTAGTGAATGGGAAGGTAGTCATGCGTCCAATAGTCTTGCATAGAGCCGAGAGCCTGTGGCAGTTGATGGTGGGCTGACAGGAAGGCAAGCGCCACAAGAACCGGCACAGAGCCAAGAGCCTGGTGCGGTTGGAAGGAGTGCGTTAGCTA